AAGTGGTGCCATCGAGAGGGCACGGGATCTCGACGGGGATGGTTCGGTAGATCTGAAGAAGGCGGCTGGGATCTATTTCGTAGAGACCAGAGCAAGGGTACAGGATGTTGTGGTTCGTGTATTTCATCTGGAATTCTTCCTCCTGCTAAAAACATCCGTTCTTAGGTATTGATGAACCTTCAACTGTACATGGTGGACTCGATCAACTACCTCGTCGACTTTCACCATAAGAAGTCGTATAAGGCGTCTACCGATCCAGCAGCAGGCAAGTTCGACATGGCGGTGTTCGACCCTACCTTCTCAGACACGAGCAGCGAATCTGGGTCTGGTCGGTCCATCAAGGAGAAGGATGGAAGCGGCACCACGAAAGAGGACGACGTCGTCTCACCTTTCGTGTTCATGGATGTTGCATGTCGACTGATCCTGGAACTCGCTGGTGGTGGAGAGTAATATATGCGCTCGACTCCGTGGTAAACGTCAGATTCTTGATTTGGCCTAATGGATTGGTGGATGGATGCGGATGTATTTCTGGGTGGATTCCTTCCCCTTCTTATTTTGTCCCCTCATCGTTCTTTTTGCTTATTGCTTCAGAAACTGTAGGTGGATCCGGAGAGCTATTGATAACCCCTTTATGTACTTGTGTTGTGCTTCCACTGCTCTCAAAAAACTAATTACGTAGTATATCTGTTGTATGTATGATTAGACGTCGTTTGCTTCGCTTGTTTGCTATCTGCATTATCTATCTTTGACTGGCCTGCATCCTGTATTTTAGTTACTACATCTTCATTCATTGATTCATCTAATAGTTGTAGTCTAAGCTAAGAAATATTCTGAAATGAAATTCGGTTTTCAAGCGTTATGATGGCTTGTTCAATTGGCATGACTGTTGAGTAGAAGATACGAAAGAAGATATGTCCAACTTCTACTACAACCCCGCTGCACATCTTTCTCTCTAACAGGAACGATGCCTCCACCATAACCGAACAGGCGAATTCCACAGGAAATCAATGCCAATCAAAGATTAAAAACAGCCAATGTACCACTCATTTCTCTACCCAGCAAGATAATCGGCGTGGAGTTAGTCGCCAGGTGGATGGTGATGGCGGTCGGCCTTGCACTGTCTATCATCTCCACCCATTTCAAGAGGGAACGAAGAGAAAAATAAATCAACGCCGTTCTGGCATTGGCGCTAGATCTTCAAGAAGGGAGGTCGCTTATTTACCAAGGGGCGAGTGTAGTCTATGTTTCCCATAATAAAATTTATATTTATAAATATATTTAATCGTTGCCGAGTATCACTATCAGAACCGATGAATGTGGAGGGATATGTTACGCACGCCTCTATGCGACCTGGTTTGTTTCGTTACTCGCCGGTACCGAGTGGTGGAGGCTTAGCAATGCCTAGAGCAGGAACCGAGCTGCAAATCGACCACGTTAAAAAGAGATCTGAAAGAAGGAGAAGGTAATAACATCAAAGGAGT